CAGATAAGTGCCCTCTTCTAGGGTTACTATTTCAAGCCTTCTACTATGTTTCTCTGTGAGGTAGAATTTCTGCTCTTTACTGATTCTGTATCTCCAGTTTAGCAGATGGTGCAAGAAACTGGAAAACGACCATAGCCTTCTTTCTCTTGCTCCCCCTATCTTTGTAATAAGATGAATCACTTCAATACAAAGCTTTGCTTCTTTCCAAACAGACAGCATCCTTCCATGACAGAGAGGATTAGTGCAATCTAGCTTTATGCCATAAGAAAACTGAGGATACAATGCAAGACAAACTTTAGCTCTTCTACTTCTTTCCTCCCTTATCCACTTGCTCTGACTTCTGGTCTGTCTGCCTCTAACCTTAAGGAAAAAAAGGCTGGTGATGAGAGTCTTTTTCACTCCTGCAGTCTTTAGACCTACAGAGAAGGAATGAAAATAAGGAACTAGACTGTAACTCGTACTCCTTAGTGCCTGCAGAACAGGAAAGATTAATCTTGAGGTGTCCTATTAATTATTTAATGTTAAATATTTATAGGGTTGTTCATGTAGCTCTGTGGTGTTAATTTCACTTTTCAGTAGGTCTCACCTGATGTCTGTTCTGCAGTACAAGTCCTTTGAATTCTGTGGAAGGGAACTGTGTCCGTACACTATGGAATGGATAGACACTGCCTACATTGTATGTAAAGTCTAGGTGAGCTTTGAAAGACTTCAACAAATGCTGAATTACTTACTAATTACCTATTATTTGCAAAACTATTTTAAATGTAATGCACACTTTGAAATAGGAATTCCTCTTTTTACTTTCATGGACACAAGTCCCTGGTACCTTGGCCAACTGCAATTTTTATAATGGATGGATGGATTAGTGAGCAAAACTTTCTGCTACAGTGTCACTGATATAAACTTTGTATATTAAAGAGCGGGGTTGGGTGTCCATCAATCTGTGACACACTAGCCTTTTTTTTAATTCTGATATAAGCTAAAGGAGTCTTTAGGAACTTAAGGTATGTTAGCAAGTGTTTTAGCTGGGAGTGGAGTGGTTTTTTTCAGTTGACTATTTTACCTGTGTGCCACCCTATGGCTCAGTACATAGAATAAATTACTCCAGAACTGTGGTTGAAACATAGTTTCTGTTCATATAGTAGCTGTATTGCTGTTATCAGATCTGCTTAACATGATGAATTCTTTTTAAGTATTTCAGGTGAAAGCCTTAATCAGGTGCCTGCCCCTTAAGGTAGGCTCATATGTGGTGTTGTATAGACTGAAATATGACTGTCCTTAAAATTTCAGAGTTTAGAAACCATAATGAACAGAAGAATGCTCCTGTTGCCAAAGGGCAAGAGTCTGGATTAGATTGATTTGACCTTACTCTAGTGGCTGTGGCTAATCACTTCGGGTGGTTGCTTTAGCCACTTGCTTCTTCTAAGTGAAGTATTTCAAATGGTCTGATGATCAGACACTAGATATAAGCCGGAGGTGTCCTGTGTACTATGTGTGCGAGACTGGCTGAAATAGCACCACATATTCTGGTGGCCTTGCGCTGTTGTCCTGACAACATTAAGACCTGCATTATGGATTTATAATCTTACCTAACAAAGCAAGTGCTATTCTGGCTTGATGTTTGCTCTACCCCAGAGCAAGGTGGAGATGGCCCCTCTACAGCCAAGCTGAACTCCTTAGGGAATTTAATATTTTTGTCTGTTTTCTGAGCAAGTGTTTACTTGTATCACAACCACTCTCCTTCAGTGGTGCCTGGCCCTGCCTGCTCAAGAGCAACTCAGCCTAGGCCCAGAAAGCTACTGAATACCCCATAATCTCTGCAGAGCAGAGTTCCCTCCAGGTCAGGGTTGAGATGGTGCTAGTGGGACCAGAGTGGTCCCCTTCCATGCACATCAGTATTCTACTCTAGCGTTGATAGGGTGCTCCAAAACCATTTACATCCTTATCACTGGTACAGCTCAGAACTAAGAAATGGAAATTTTCTTTCTTTAAGAACAGTATCACGTGTGTCTTTTTGTAATTAATCAGTGTGGTTCTGTGTTCTTATGTAGCCAATGCAGAATTTTTATTTAGGTTTAGTTCTTACTGCACTCCCATGGCCCTCATGTTGATACTTCTTCCTGCTTCCTTTGACACTTAAGACAATAAAATTCCTTCTATACTGCTCTCAATTTGTGCAGAGAAAACAAGTTGTACTGTCCTTCTTTCTGATTTAAATTTTCCCATTATGTCATCTAAGAAGTCAAAGGGACAGCCTTGAGTGATGGTATCAGGCAGATTATGTAGAGATGCCCTGTACTTGCTACAGTGTGGACATGGAAGAACTCACACTCTTCTTTAATCATCTGAACAGGTGAGTATGTCTGTGCACACAGAGGCAACTGCCAGACATTAAGTATATATGTGGCTGTTTGGCAAAGGCTAGAACTCATGTTTTCCCCCTGAATTGCCATCAGTCCAGCTCAATGGAAAAAAAAATCAGTGCAGGCAGCAACAGAAATTTCAGTGTTACAATACTGTAAGGGTTAATACAAACCTCTGCTTGCACTGCTCAGCTCTTTAATACACAATTCAGTTTCCCTTCCTGGCCTGAAAAGCGATTCTGCTCAAGGTCTGTGTTTAGTGACCGTCCAGACTGATGACCTTACCAGGACTTCCCAAGACAAATGCTGGGTTAATAAAGGGCAGTCAGCTGCAAGATTCAGTGCAAGGGGGTCCAACTTTATTCAGGCTATCATCTTTCAGGCATAACATACCCCTTCTCTCTTGGGAAATGAGTAATAGCTGGGACCAGGGCCAGGATGTAGGCAAGCCTACAGTGTGTAGAGGAAGGGAAAAAACATTTCCTAACCTGCTACTCCAAAGAGAAAGGCACATGCAATAGTCCCTTTTAGCCATGTTAATGATATGAACAGCTTCTGCCCTGAGGGAAGGTAATTGCACAGTACTAAACCTCTGCTTCAGGTGCTTGCTTGAAAACACCCTCTGCCCCATGTCTTACAGATTTTGCTAAAAATCAGGTAACTCCTATACCCCCTATAGGGGGTGATTGTTAGACAGTGGAGTGAGAACACCAAAACAGTGATGTGGCCGCAGACTTTCTGTTCCCTTTCAGATCAGGCTTTCCCCCTGCTTAGTGATTGTTCCTGCAGTTCTAGGTTTTTAAGTCAGAGCTTATGCTATTGGACCTTAGGTGGAAAATCTTTATTTTGGAAAGGATAAACAATTGGTCAAAGGAGAAATTTAAAAAATTAAGAAAAACGAACCTAGGCAGTTTTACACTGAGGCCCAAAACTGCAAAACTTAATGCTTTCACATGTATAAAAGCACATAGAAATTCATTTATGAGAGAGTGAGACTGAGCCTTAAGAGCACCATTCATGCAGAGACTGCGGGATTATGGTAGACAAAGGTGTATAACATACTAGGGATAGTAGGCCATGACAGAATTCAGTTAACTCAGCTGAATTGGCTTTCCTAGATTATCTTTTTATTTTGGCAGAGTAAGTCTCATCCTATCTCTGACTTCATTCTAGGGGAGGGAGGAGAGGAATAGCTGTAGAATAACTACTGCATTCATTTACCCCCAGTTCAAGAGCAGCTCCTGAAACTGACCAAAAACTGAATAAATAGAAGTAGAATAAATAGAAGTAGAAGGCTTTACATCCAGAAAGAAAAAAATAAAAAACTAAATAACATTGCTACAGCTTGAAGCCAAGTCTTTTTTGTGTGTACAAATGAAAGATTACACGGAACAAATACATCTTTTGTTGTAGCACATGCCAATGTCTAGCCTAGTCCTTTTCCCATTTGACAAATGAGCACCTTGAAAGCCACTGTGATTGTCTAACCAAAGTTACAAAACATTTCCCAGCTCTACTATACAGCATTCCTATTCCCTTAGAGCACAAGAATATACAGTCTAAATCTGAAAGAAACTAAATAAATTCTAAAATAAATAAAAGCAAAAAAGGAGCTTGAAGACTAGAATAAAATTTTCAGTGGAAGTTGGAGGACAACTTGCCTTGACAGGAGAAGCCAAACTTGTACAGCTGACAAAAGGAAGGAGCTTGAGGCATGCCAGCTGTTAAATCTGTCATCTTGATTATCATTATAGCAGGTGTCTTCTCTACAGAAACTCAGTATCACACTTTGAAACACAGTGCAGTACATCCAGTGCAGCTTGTGCATTGCAGCAGGACAGCGCTGTGGGAAGCCCTACAGGCCAGGCAGCTACAGTCTGGTAAGGAGCAGGTCACAGCCAGCAATTCAATTAACTTGCACAACAGGAAGCCTCCTGAAAGGACATGGTATCTCACTGATGCTTGTGTGCCCATCCCTATAGGTAAGCAGCAAACGGCTTCCTCTGCATTTGGATGAACCGTGGATATGTCTGCAACTTTCTGACCAGTACATCCGATACACATTCATTACTGAGGTGGTGGTGATGGGAGGAGATTTTGCACTGTAGAAACAGCCCACTTTACAGACTGTTTGCCAATGCCACTCAAACATCATTAGGAGCAGGACACATACCTTGATCCGCTCTTAAAAGAAGATTCTTTCTGAGATGCTGAACTTGTTCTTAGAGCCTCTAAGAGACTCCTCAGAGAAGAGGAACTAAGGTCAAGTGTACTTCAGAGCTCTGTCTTCACAAAGCAGGTGGCATGCAGAGCACTAACAGTAAGTCTGAAACTCAATTTTTTGTTTTATATAACAAGAGTTATTCCCATCTAAGTGTTCGTTTCAGAGCTCCCTCCCCTCCCACTTAACTCTTCAGGAGTGAGGGAACCCACTATCTTATGTCTTGGCCCTATGTAAATGTTGAGTTTATAGTAAGACAGCTCTAAAGAATTCCACCCATAGCTTTTAACTGAAGAAATACAGCTGCAGAAAAAAATAAACATCAGTAAGTCAGAAAGATAACTGGATATGGTAGTCATGGGAAAACAGCTGCTGGAGAGATATCTCAAAAGGAAAAGGCATGGAGAAAGACAACCTCAAACAGCAGCCAAGTTTCATTTATTAAGAAAAGGAAAGAAGCTAGAGCAATTATATTGTTTACCACTCTTCCCATTCCATGTAATTGGGAAAACTGATTATAAAGGGCAACCTCCTGAAGTGATGAACTTAAAACTCTGAGAAAACAAAGGAAGTCCAATTTCTGTCTGAATAGCATAACTAAATACAGCCTAGCAGCTGCGGTGCAAACTAAGCTGTTTTTTAGCAAAGGTACTTTGTCAAATGTGTTGCCTGTACAGCTGCATGCTCCTGCAGCTTAGGAGACTGCTAACAGGGGATGTACACATACTCCAGTGGTCTCTGGCGTCACCTCCCCTAAGTACCAGTCTCCCTGAGCTCTACATCACTACTAACATGATGTAGTTGGTAACTACCTCTATGATACTTCCCTTTCTGAGCATTGCAGGTATTCCTGCTGTTCCACTTCCATAATAATTTACAGATCCCTTTGTAATTCATCAGAAACCTGTGTTAATGGCAACTAGTCATGCATTTAGGTCCAGAAACAGTGTTAAGAACCACATCTGGAATCTCAGTTATGCATGCCATGATGCTCATTACCACAGGCTCTAATTAAATCACTGGATGCTATTCTTAAAGCATCACAAAACATTTTATTTTCTCCCAACAACTATACGTACACTAGCTGCTATTTTAGAGTTAGGAACCTTCTACCTGCCCCACCTCCAAACTTCTCTAGTCCCCCACAGTCAGAGGCATTCACAGGTCTCCAGATCCATTTGATATAAACTCCAAATTGCTCTAGAACACAGGGGTTTTCCTTCCTGAACAGGCCAATTCTATAGGGGTCTATACTAGAGCTTCAGGGGCAGTGGTCAAAATAAACACAGTGATCAAGACTTCAACTCTGCCTTTGTGTCTGTATGCAGTCACTAGCAATGGTTTCACCCATAAGTGCCCAAGGGAGCATATGTAAGCCAGGGCTTTGGGAGCTGCAAGTCCCTGTGGGAGCTTTATAACCTTCAGAGAGACAAATAAGGGGACTTGCAGGCATTGTTCTGCAATTTCTCAGCACATGACTCCAATATCCAGTGTTCAGCAACTTAATCATTCATTCCAAGTACATACCAATTATTTCATGCATGGAAAGAGGAAGCATTAGCTTGACCTGCACAACACTGGATTTTCCAACAAAATATAGCTGGAAGCTTACAACCTCCCTGAGATGCCTTCATGCAAGTTGCCCAAAAGTCAAGTCTTTGATTTAAATAAAACGGGAAAAGCACTTGTGATGTTGGAATTACATTACAGGATTGGCAGGCTGCTTCAGCCAGTGCAGGGGCAACCAGTTCATGTGATGGTGCACTGTGCACACCTTATGGGTCTTAATAGGTGGGGCAGACAGCTTTCACATCCCCCCCCATCAACTGACCATCAGACTAGCCAGCAATTAAAATGGAAGCAGATAGCTAAATTTTTAAGTGCCAACACCATGTGTCACAGCATTTTTTGTTTTGCTTTTGGTTGGTTGTTTTTAAACTTTTAGTGTCTTCCAAGCTTCCTATTACAGTGTTAACAGCAGGTGGGAGTCATCTGCAACCAGGCTGCCTTCTGGCAGCCTTTTTTGGAGCCTGGCAGAAAATAAAGCTCTCAGTTCACCCTTTCCTACCCTCCCTTTACAAATACAACCACTGACAAAATCAGAATAAGAGTGCTTGCAGAAGTTAATGAAACTGTCAGATAAACATAGCAATAGAAATCCACAGCTTTGCATCCCTCCCCATATACCAGTGCCATGCCAGAACCATTACTTGTCAAAGTAAGGGCAAACAAAGCTGCAAAATTATTCACCCTCAAGATTGCTGCCCACTTAGAGAAACTCCCAATTGGGTAGCAAAAGCCATTGACACATCACCAGACAAATACCACACCATCTGGCAGGGGCACAAAGGGAATATGCAGTCTTAGATACTCGTAAGGGCACAGAACACAATCCCCACACCCTGCCCTTGTTTTTGTACAGTTTACAGAAGAGATCTGTAAACGATCAGCAGTACTTTCTTTCTCTGGGAGGAGAGCAAGGGTTCCTGAATTTTTTATTTAATTTTTTTTTTGCAAGACAAGCCTGATGCCAGAAAAACCAGCTCTTCTCCAACTCTGGGATTTCGGGATGTGCTGGGAGACAACAACTAAGCTCACTTCTTCCCTTCTTCCCTCTCTTCAACCCTCATTACTACTATCTTGTATAGCTAATTTTTTCCTGTTCTCTTTCACATCTCAGCCAGCAAAACCTTGTTGAGCAAGTCTTCAGAGGGTTCAGCTGCCAGAAGTCCAAGGTGCTGTCATTAGTTTGCAGGTTTTTTCTTAGATTATTTTATTTTTCAATAAAGGAAGTAACATTTAAAATGTGAAAGTCTTCAATATAGACCAGGGAGAAAGAACAAAATTTCAAGTCTCCTTGTACCTTCCCACAAAAACCTGAGGTGGGACCAGATTTCCTGCCTCGTTTGTGAATGACTGATTGATAATATTTCTGCCAGTATTGGTCTCATCTCTTAGGGAAAAACTGAGGACCAAATGTCAGGCTGAACTGGGGAATTTACTCTAGAAACAAGTACAGTTCTACTGCTTTTGTACTGGCCAAGCCACTGCTGAGAAAAGCACACTGATAGGACACCAAAGGTACACTGGGATCCAAACGACTGACAATCTGGCTCCAAGTTACACAGCCTTACCCCTTCTCCCAATGCCTGTCAAGAGACAGGAGTCAGTCCTAAGAGTTCTACCTATCAAAACATGGCTGGGGCCAGAGGAAGGAAGGAGCAATAACTTCAGTCTGGCACAGGTGGATGCTACAGGTTGGCTATGGACCCCTGGCTGAATGGGAGTGCACAGAGAAAGAGTAGGGCAAATGACGAGTACCAGCTCTTCCATCTGATGCCTCTGCTGCCTCTCACATACCTTCCATTTTCATCTCTCTTTTGGGACCTCCAGAGTTAGCCTTCTGGGGTTGTCATGCCTTACAGGGTGATTTTTTTCCACTGGATATTCACTGGGAGGATCCTAAATATTTTTCCTACAACTGCCAAACTAGGTACAATTCTGAGACTGCTATAGAAAGGAATGGAATCTTCCCCAAGGCCTCTAGCCTTTTGCTGCCATTCTAGAGCTGCTGTGGGTGGCTCTGTAGAACCCCTGGCTCCCTTCCTGGCAATCCCATTCCCTGGTCCATTAGTCACAGCAAGCAGTTTCTTGTAGAAACTGTTATACCACACAAACCCTTCTGTCAGCAAGGCAGCCTTTACACATTATTAAGTAAAAGACATTTCTAAGCAGTTAGCAGATCCAACATTCTAAAAGGCAACAAAACAACTAGCCCTGAAACGACCATACTTCATAAACTATCACTGAGAAATTAAAAGAACTATTGTTTTGGTGTAAAAGAATATTGGTGTACACATCCCATGCTCCTTGGTAGCAGTTAACGAACTAGAAGTGGATAGCACTGCCCTTCTCTTTTCCAGCTCCTTGAAGATCTCACACAGGGACAAATAAACATGAGAGTTATGTTGGTTCCTGCAGCACAAAAACACCTGCTAAACAAAGCAGTGGAACAAGGATCCCTTTAAGAGATGGTAATGCCTGAATGCAACTGGAAGCCCACTGGGAAGACAGCTCAGGGTCGCAGAGATCCAGAAAATACCAATGCAAAAAGCACTCCAACTCTCCCATCCCTGCTTTTAGTGAGGGTGTGAGGGGAGGAAGAGACTTTTAGGGCATGATAAAGAAGAGTTTTCTTGCAAGCAGGTTGTGCAATCCAGAGTGTCAACTGCTGTATTCAGAACAGCCTTTCTTTAGGGAAAGGGAACCAACACTAACTCTCTCTCAGGCTGGAAATCTCCAAGCCAAAGCTAGCCAGCAGGCAGAGATGATCAGATGAACAAAAAGGATTTGGTAAGCCATTTGCCATCAACAGGACATCTTCAGAGAGCAGGGAAAGGCGGCCAAGCAGCTTCAGGGCTCCATCCTTGTATAGCCTGCGACCTGACAAAGAAAATGGAAGGAAACATCAGCCAGAGACTCATGCTGTAGATTAACTCTATACGCTCCCAGAGGGATGCTTGTCAATTCATTCCTATTCTTTCCCTGATGAATGAAGACAGCCTGCACAAACACTGCATGCACCTTTGAGCCTAGATGTGAAAGCAGTGAGCATCCTACAATAATAGCTGTTCATGGTTTCATATATTTGCAGGCACAGGAAGCAAGAATATACTAAATTCACCAGGTAGTTGCTTACAGGAGAAGTTCCTTACTGTGTCCTAGCAATAGCTTCAGATGCCCAAGGAGGAATTCATCTCTTCATTTCTAACCTGTTCCCCAAACTCGATTCTGACATGACCCAAACCAGCTCAGAGACAGTTCTTGGATGCATTTACATGCAGTCTTTCATCAACGTAACTCCTGTTTCAGGTAGCAGAGAGGAGGTGCCATTGTAAGGTAACCAGAGTCACCACCTTCCAAGGCCAGCGTGTGGTCTCAGACAGACCAGAAGTCCAAGTCTTGAACTTAGGAGCCAGCACTGCCTGTTATCAGGAGCACAAGTGAGATACTTATACAGAAGAACGCATTCTGTTTGAGCTTCCTCCAAAGTCTACATGAACCTAAGCAGCTTTGTTTTTTTCACAGCAAAGATAAACATTGTCTTCTCATGATACACAAGCAAATATTGCTTCCACCTTGTGCATCATTTCAGTCAAAGACACTCTGTAGATCTACCCCAGCTTAATGAAATGCACTGGCCTGTCACAGGGATAAGCCCTGCACTGCCACACTCACCTGCCCTGTTCTCCACGGGCTCTGCTGAGTAGAAAATGTAATCAACAGTGGCTCCAAGCCCCATGGGCATCGTTGTGACCTCTGGGCGTCCCCTCTGTGGCAGGAAGTGGCTGTAGACAGAGGTCAGGTTGAGGCCATGCTGGATAACACCTGAACACCTGCACACAAACAGACCGTTTACCAAGGAAGGAAAGAGAATTATGCCTTTTTGGTACTGCAGTCACAGCTGAATGTTCCCTTGCTGATGCAACTGTCCAAACTATTTCTACTTTTTGAACACATAGAAGAAAGTATTTCAGAACTATTCACTTCACTTACAGCAAAGCAAAGCAGACTATGAACTTCCTTTGTCTTCAACACTCAGTCCTGTCTCTGCCCTTCATTCTCGACCTCACCAACACAATGCTGACAGAGCAGCACCCAGCTGTTGGGACACTCCTGGAAGGATCTAGCTCTTCCAGATAGCCCTCCTTACTTTCTTCCACTCTCACATTTATTTCAGTCTTTACTTCAGCCAGATTTTCAGTACTCAGGAAAACAAGACCGAGTTTGAAGAGAGGGGCCATTGAAGGTGCACCAAATTACCTTGGGATGAATGGCTGGGGATCAGGGTCTTTCACCATGGCAGCAGGCTTGGGCCAGTGTGCAGGGCGGTCTGCAAAGGAACAAAGAGATTCCAGCCAGACCTACACAGATCCCAGAAAAGGCTGCCCATCCCAAGACTGAGAAGGTTCTCCTGAGACCAAATGAATCTTTTCGCCCAAGAAGAGCAGATAGCTACCAGTCACAACCATCTTAAAGAAAAACATCCAGAGGAAACACCAGCTCTAAGACTAAAAGAAAGGTCCTTAGAGCAGATCAGTGCAAATAACAGAGAAGTCATATTCTGTCCTAAGGACATATTCTTAAAGCATTTAATATTATCGAAGCTCAGGGTATTTCGACCTTTGCTCTCAAAGAAAGTTTGCTTGTCTTAGCCTACAGCTTACTCAAAGAGTGTCTAGAAAGGCTGAACAGAAATGGAGAAAGCAGAACCAGCCATGCCACAAGGCCCATAGGTGAGGCAGTGTTTACTGGGTACCAACATCCAGAGACATCTATGTTGTGGCCATTGTGTGACATTAATCTTCAGGTTTGTGCTCCACCACCAAAAATCTTGAAGCAGAAAAAGTGAAATATGTATACATATGTGTGTTTCACTTCATAAGAAACAGCCTCAAAAAGAGGCTGAGTCTCAGTGCATCTCAAGGAACACAGTCAGTGTGTATAAGGGAGGTAAGATTGTACTCCTCTGAGCTCTCATTCAATCTAATCACACAGTCACAGAAGGAACCCTTCTGCCTTCCCCTTTCCTCACCAGACATTACCTCCACCTCACGTTTTCCTTGACATTATAGAATCATATAACTGGGTTAGAAGAGACCTTAAAGAACATCTAGTTCCATCCCCCCATCCCACAGGCAAGGATGCCAACCACTATATCAGGTTGCCCAGGGCCCCATCTAATATGGCCTTGAACACTTTCCACAACTTCTCTGGGCAACCTGTTGTAGTGCCTTACTACCCTCTAAGAATTTTAAGAAGTTTAAAACAATTTCCCCTTGTCCTATCACTATATGGCTGTGTAAATAGTCACTCTCCCTCTTTTTTAATAAGCTCCCTTTAAGTACTGAAAGGCAACAATGAGGCCTCAGTTGAGTCTTCTCCAGCCTGAACAACCCCTACTCTCTCAGGTTCTCCTTATAGGAGAGGTGCTCCATTGAGCTAGGAGAGTCACAAGCTGAAAAGTCTCTCATTAATACCTGGTTTAACATCTGTCACACCTTCCAAGAGCACCAGGTGTGCGGGTCGTTCACAGGCAACATCACAAAAACGAAACTGTAGCAGGAAGTCACGGCTGTATTCACGTCTCCCTGCAGAGAAAAGTACAAGTTAAAAAAAAAATAACTGCAGCAAAGTCACATCTACCAGGAACACCTATATACATTTCAGACCTTTGGGCCTCTTAGACCTCTTTCGTTTGAGAGAGGTTTTTGTGCCTAAATATTTTAATACCATGAGAATAGAAATCACTCAATAAGTTAAATGCAGAACAGAACAGAACAGATGTGTAAATGTAGAAGAACAGAGCACAGATATTGCTATCCCTTTAGCTAATGCAACAGTCATGGTCAGCACAAATTAAGAATGTCCCATCTGAGACACCACAAGTTCAAGGGACTTTCAAGCAGATCAGTCAGTGTGCAAGTCAAGGAAATGTCTGTCAAAAAAGAAAAAACTATTCTGGAGATCAGACTGAGTATAAGTTCTACATGCAAGATTTTAACAAAAGCTATTTGCGTGGACTCCTTTTTTTTAATCCTCTCTAAGGATGGTAGAGAACATACATGATAGAGAACATGAAAATTAGGCTCTTAGGAATGATTTCTTAACAGTGCAGATGAAAGCCGTGGCTGCTGAACACAGTTTACAACTGCACAAAAGCCTAAGTCTGGGAATAGGAAAGAGATACTGGTTACTGGTATGGGAACATCCAGCTCCTGACTAGAGAAAGAAAGTGGCAGAAATGGGGCTACAGCAATAGATTCTGGAAAAATTATATTTAATTCACATACCAAGGAAATGGATAGAAGAAGAGAATCTTTGCTGAGTGCCTCATGCAACACATGCCCAAGCTATTCAGAGAGACAGCAAGGCCCACAAACCGCCCATCCTCACAAACTCATGTTCTCAGTGCATGCTGGAGCTTACCCAGTTTCTTTGGCTGGCACTGGGTGACATACTGGCAGTTGTCTGTTACACCCAGTGAGCTTGGCCACAGCGGGGCCAGCAGTTTACGTGAATACAACTGTTGGGAAAAGTCTTCCTGACCAGACACCTGCAAAGAGGCCAGAAAAGGAGAGGAACCATCAGCAACACAGGGCAGAACTTTTGCAAGCTATAGTCAATGTATGTATATACACCTGCAAAGAGCAAGACAGGAGAATGCCCTCATAGAAAGGCACAAACTAAGCTATTCAGAATATGGTGCAGCAATAATAAACCTTCAGCTGTGGGGGGAGGATACAATTAACTAAAAGTCATCTGACGATACTTCGCAAGCATCTTGTTGAACTGATGATTTAGCTTGAAAGCCAATGATGTATTTGATCCCAGACACCGTAAGAGGCAATCGCAAGAGACTTTAGCACAGGTGCCCATTTCAAACTGTTTTCAGCAAACATCCACATAAAATTTCAGTAAGTCTTGGTGGAGTTGCACTCCAGTCACTCAGGCACAAAAATTCCATAGCAAAGGAAAACAAAGACCTGAAATTAAGTGGTCTATTATCACAGGTCTGCCTCAAGAGAAACCAAAAGAGCAGTGGTGGAAACAACAGGGACATACTCGTCCACTTCTTTCCCCTGCAGTGCTGGAGATATTAGGGAAGACTGCTGAATAACTGAATTCAGAATTCAGATTATTTCCTCACAAGAGAAAGAATGCAGCCATGCATTTTTCTGGCAACATGCAATAAAGAGCTACCCAATCCCACTTCTGGTTGGCAACTACCTTCCAGGCTGGCATCCCATGGTAGGAAAGTTCACCATTCCGGATGAATTTGTAGAGTGGAGAATCAGGTACGGAGTTCAGGTCTCCACACAAGATGACAGGATAGTAGCTGCCTTCAGTAGTTCTTGCAATTTTGTCAATCTCTGCTAGGAGCAAGGCCACCTGGGCTAGTTTGATATCTCCTCGGCGTGGATTGAACAACACATGAGTGTTGGCCACACATAAAGGACTGATGGCCTTCAGATCTAGGCCCTCTGGGAGCACAGGCTGTAGCAGCAGCACCAAGCCCACATTATCCCGATTGAGGATGTCCAGGCCAGGACGGAAATATTCTACAGGGCTGAGGCTGATCAGCTGAAACCTGCTGTGCTTATAGCACACTGCACATCCATCTGTCTTCGTCCCAGTTCTCCGTTTGTAGAAGCATGCAAAGCCTGAAAAGAAACCATCACCTATTAAAAGGTTTATCCAGTCACTACCTCAGACTCCCCCTATAAGCTGGGATTTCAGCAAGACTGTGTAGAAAAGGTTCCTACTACATTTGGGTACAGTATTATATCCAATTCTGTTCCAATAATCAGCATTTATTATTAATCACAGGGGGCATTTTCTCTCTCTTTGTCCTTCTAGGACCCTCTCAGTTTTGTTACTCTGATCTTTCAACCCTGAGAGACATCAATTACAAAAGAAAGCTTAAAGGTCTAGGCGGACAGTTCAGAAGTAGGGCCAGCAGCCACCTGGCAAACAGGAAGAGGTCTCTTGAAACTGAGTGCTTTGAAGACAGTAAGCAAGAAGAACTTCTTGCCCAGTCCCACGAGCTAGATGTACAAACCAACAAAAGTAGGACATACCCATCTCCTTGAATGTTGGTTCCAGTTGCTCCCAGTAATGGTTCTCTTGTACCTCCTGGAGACAAAGAACCTGGAAGGAAGGCAGAGACCTCACTCACTCCACAAGTATTTGCTAGTTACCTTGTTCTGGGGAAGGAAGAAAATGGAAAAGTGCACTCACATACCAACCCTGCAACCAGAAATGTCATCATCGCAACTCTGTCCTGTACTTTCCAGATGAAGAGCAATAACTTTCTGGGCCACATTAGCTTATCATTCAGTTTTCCAGTGATGAGGCAAAAGATCCTTCATCCCACAAAGAGGACTCAAAGAAGAGAGAAATTCATGAAGTCCTCTTCTATGCAGGCTTCCCCTCCTGTGCTGCCTTAGAAACCTGGTCCTTCTTCCTCTATTTCTGCTGTTTACAGAAGTTAAGCCCTGCCATCAAAGTATGACTAGTTTCCACAATCAAAGCAAGATAGACACCAAAAAAAAGGTCTGTGCAAGTCCTCAAACACTCTCAGAGCAATCAGTGTTCAGTTACCAAGCAGGTAGTATCTTCCTAGGACCTCCCCCCATCTCTTTCTTTAATACTGCTAGATCAAACAAGGAATTCAAATTCTGGTGACACTGATGTAGGAAGGGCTCAGTCATACTCACATCAGGATTCCAGTGCTGGATCTCTTGCAAAAGGTTTGGAAGGCGGTAGTTCCAGTTCAGGATATCTGGATGACAGTGTACATAGAGATCAAGGCCCTGTTCCACCAGGTCCTGGGCAAGGATGTTGTAAGACATGACTCGAAATTCAAAGAGAGGAGTGTTTTTTGAGACCTGTTCTAGGACACAGGGCCGGACAGAAAGATCCTCCCAGTCTCTCCATAAAATCTCTACATGCAAGAGACAAAAAGCAAAGTTACTGACACGCTGGGCACCTTTCTGATACTTTTGTTCCCCCGGGACCCAGAAAACAGCCATTCTCATTCCCTAAGCTAGGGCATTAACCCCTGAGCAAACCCTCGCCCACTCTGGTTTTCAGGTGCTCTTTCTGGATGCCTTTGAAAATAGTTGTCAGTGGGGATGGCATAAGACGTGACCAGAGTCAAGTACACTGAAACACTCAACTAACCTTTCAGTACATTTTAGATTATAAAGCCAGCACTTGGGAACAGTTCTTGGGAAGGGAACATATATTGATATTCATACCAGACAGTCTAACAGCACAGAGACCAGTAGCTGTGAGCCCCTCCTCAGCAAACACTCACTTTACAGTTTTCACAAGCAAATCCTGTCAATTCTGCTGGGAAGATCAGTGTCTTGCTGACAGCAAGTCCAGACACAATAACCTGACCACATTCACTACAAATGCCAATCCCAAACTGAACATTAGATTCAGAGCCATTACTGACCATGGTAGGGCACCTCTGTCAGGACAGGACAAAATGGTACTGCATCCTGAATGGGATGGGCTGGGAGCTCTGCTGGCACAGTCTCTGCATCACACGCTAAACTCCAGGCCAGCACAGCTGGGTCATCATTCAGCACTTCTGCGTTGATACCAGCACAGCCAGCTATCTGCTGATCTGTCTGTGGCACCACAGCTGCCCAAGGGGCACTGTCTGCTACAGTCACTGTTTCCTCTGCTGGTAATCTTGCCTGTTCAGCCACTGCATGATCTTGCAGTTCTGAAGAAGCCAAGGCTGCTTCTGAGAGCTGCTGATCAGCACACGGTGTGGCTTCTGGAGACGAATTCAGTTCTCTGAGGCTAGTCATCAATAGCTCTGAACCTTCTAACCAGCCACTAGTGACTGTAACTGATACTTTCCCCACTGCTGGAACACTCTCACTGGCTGGCAAATTCCCTGCTCCTTCCTCCAAACACTGCTGGAGAAGGGCTTCTTGCTCTTCTGAGACCGATCTTCCTCTGGATGCAGCAAAGACACCTTCTATCTGGGTGGACGGGCTCTTCGCCAGAAGCACATTCTTTCGACAGGTAAAGAAACCATCTGTCATTTAAAAACAAAATCAATATAAGACAGCCAGAAATCCTTTCCCACTCACTCTTTTCTTTTTCCAATGCATTTGCTGTAACTCTGTGCAATACAACCATTCAGTATATCAACCCAAACAAATTACTTCTCTGAAGAAAAATAGTTACAATCTGAAAAACTTCCCCTGCCTGCTCTGGAATGCTAAGCCACAGTCCAAATCTCGTTATGTTTGTCAGCCAATGAAACTGCATATGATAGTAATGGCTTTACCAAACCTAGGGAATGCAATTCTAACTTATGCAGCACCACAGACAGTCAGCCAAGCTAAAGGGCTTTGTGGAAACTATCAGCTCTCAGCAGCACCTATAAAGGCACAATCTGTAGAAGTTAGCTGATCAGGTGCGTGGGCTAAGAAGCCAAGGTCTTGTAGATCATAACTTGGAGCAAGTTTCTTTCCAGGGATTGAGTAAGAAATAGCAGTCAGCTAAGAGAATGAAATAGCCTCTCCTATGAGGAGAGGCTGAGGGAGTAGGGTTGTTTAGCCTGGAGAAGAGGAGGCTCAGGGGAGACCTCATCACTCCCTACAACTACCTGAAAGGAGATTGTAGCCAGGTGGGCGCCAGTCTCTTCTCCCAGCAGTAGGACAAGAGGGCACAATCTTAAGATCTGCCAGGGGAGGTTCAGGTTGGATATTAGGAAGAAATTTTTTACAGACAGACTAATCAGACATTGGAATGGGCTGCCCAGGGAGGTGGTGGATTCACTGTTCCTGAAGGTTTTTAAGATGAGACTGGATATGGCACTTAGTGCCATGGTCTAGTAACCACGGCGGTAGTGGATCAAGGGTTGGACTTGATGATCTCGGAGGTCTTTTCCAACCCAGTTGATTCTGTGATTCTATGATATCAGAAGAACAGGAGAATGTGTTGTAGAAGAAAAACTGTTCTGTTATTAAGAGATGAAAAATGAAGACACAGAGGGACCAACATGTGCCTTATTAGAGAGAATATACGCACAGAGGAAGTCCTGATAAGAAATACAGATCACCTGATGACTGACACATGAGGCAAAAAAATAAAAACATTTTAAACTGCTTTTAATGTAACAACTGAACATACTAATATTCATGGAGTAAAGCAGAAAAAGACAGACTCTTTTCACTTATATCTATATAAGAGTTGGCATTTACATTTTGCTATGAATTCTGCACAGACAGTAGTCCCTACTGTTGACTAGCAATTTCTGTTGACCACAAATCACTTTTTTCTCTGTATCCCTGTGACAGTCAGTCAGCCAGAGCAGTAACATACTGTCAGCAACATCTGTGTATGCTTTCACTATATCTTTTGTGTCAAAGTTTTCTGTATGTGTCAGAAATGGAGCTTTAAGAACCATATGCCTCTCTGAAGTATTGTAATTAAATTCATGAATGCCAGAAACACCAATGCACCAAGGTAATGCTTCCATGCACCACTAGCCAGGCACGGTTGTTACAAGAGCCTGTTACTACACCACAGAAGCTGAATTTGAGAGGAGTCAGCTAGCTGCTCACTATGACCAAAAACAGCGTGCCCGTCATTGCTACAGGCCCAGTGACAGGTTCAGGAGAGAGGGTGGCTTTACATCAGCACAGTAACTAGGGACTGTGAAGCAGCAGCAGGATCTAGGAAACTATGTGAAATAGCAATGCACGCAAAGCAAGAGTTACCCGCAGATCCCTGGGGAGTCACAGATCTCTGAGCAGTTCATCTCTAAAGATGTTCCCAAGCCTGCAGCGCAGGCCCGGGGCAGGAGTTGAAGCCCCCGCACAGTCCGCAATCTGCCTCTGCAGTACAACAGCGGGCAGCTGTTCCCTGCGAACACCCAGTTCCTCGCGCTGCCCCGGGGCCAGCAGCTCCGGCCGGGCACAGCTGCCCCAGGCCCCGCCTGCTCAGGGCCGGGGGCTCGGGGAGCTCCGGGACCGCCGGGCCGCACCCGCCCTCCCCTCCCCGTTCTCCCGCCGCCGCCCGCCCGCGGCTGGGTTACCTTGCAGGGCCCGGAGGAGCCGCGCCGCCGGCAGTAGCACATAGCAGAGCACGGTGCCGATCATACCGCCCGGCACGGCAAGGCCTCCACCGCCCTCGGCCCGGCCCCGGCGCCGCGCCTCCCCCGCCTCAGCTACGACCTCTCGGCGCGGGCTCCGCGGAATCGGCTCGCCCGAGCACTCACCGCGTCGAGCCGCGGGGCTGGCGGCCGCCTCAGGCCTGGCGCTCCTCCAGCGCCCCTCTAGGACCGCCTGCTCCCGGGACACCGCAGCCCAGGGTGGGACGGCCCCGCGGAGCGACTCCGGCCGGGGTGGGGCCCCGCCCGCCCCGCTGTGAGACAGGAGCGCGGCCGGGGCCCAGGCCCTGGCCGCTGTGCCGTACCCGAGGGGTCACGACCTGTGACCCTGGGCTGAATGACGGCAGTCTTCTGGCCTCGCCACCCTGAAATTTGTGGTTTCAAACAAAATTTTTCACCTCCGGTTCTCCAGAATTTCAAACAGGACAATTTCCCTCTGCAAAGCCACCATTTGCTCCAGATGAGTTAATAATTACACCGACTTTTCAAACACTGATGCAGTGGGTGAGATGGCAGAGTGGGAGCGTACCCTCCCTCAAGTGCTGCTGACAGGTCACCACAGGTCTGCAAAATCACTCCTCACCTGGAGGTGAGCATTCTGGCCTCTGCAAGTTGAGATCCATCACATGTTGCTAACAGACAGTTGCATACGAAAAGCAAAGCCCTTGTTGAAGTCAAGGACTTTCATGTTTGCTTCATGCCACAATTAAATGTTTTCAGCATCTAAAGGCAAACAGATCAAGCTGAGCACACTACAGCTTTTTACATGAAATACACCTTTCTAATGTGCAATCTCAGTATTCTTCCAAACTCTTCAAGATGGGCACCTGCAATGAAGTCCGGATTCATGTCATCCCTGCCTTTTGCATTGATGATAGCTGCCAAACTGTTCCCTTGATGGTGACCAGCTGCTGTGTCACAGCACAGTCAGGCCAGGGCGTCAGTGTTAGACAAAACACTTGGTGATTAACACAATGAGTGTCCACAGCTAGGACCTGAGATGATGTTATAACGTATATAAATAATAATCCTACCAGTCTCCTTTTCAAATCCTCAGTTATAAAATACCACAGACCATAAATGCAGTGACTTGTCTCAAATCCCACAAATGTATCTGGCAAAGCACAGAACTGGACTGTGGTCTCCCATCTGTTGCAGTAACCAACCATCATTGGTTTTCATTTCTAGTCAGAAAACAGAGGGTGTTCTCCAGAGGAAGTATCTGCAACATTAGGGGCTGATGACTGGGTCATTGAAAACTAGGCTGTTCTTTAAAAGCAAAGATCTAAGAAACCCACATCAAAATAATCAGACTGAAATCAGAGAAGAATGTTAGCTGGTGCTATAAACAAGCAAGCAACTGTGGCCGAACAGCCATAGTTGTTTGTCCTACACAAGAAAAAATATTTACAAACTTTGGCAATAAAATCAAAGCTGACAATGGTCATCTGCTTCAGGGTCGAACCTTCCACTGGGTTTTGTGGCATTTTGTTCTATATCAAAATATAACTCTACCACAGTTTCTAATGATTGGACTACTCGAGAGGTCTATGTAGAACCTAAGAGAATAAAGCCACTAAAATTACCTTTTTTGGGGGGAAACAGACTTTTTCTTCTTCTCTGTTTTACATATTACACTGTGTAGGCTACATAAATGTCAACCTCTGTACCAGAGGTTATGTTCACTGAGCATTGCCCATAATGGAAATATTTCTAAGTGTATGAATTAGTTCTGCCCAACCTTTATCAGAAAGCCTCTTCTGTTACAGTTTTAGTTTTAGCCCCTTAGGAAAAGTTACAAAGTCTTCAGTATAAAAGATGTAAAATAATAAGCATTGAACCAATTTTGGCACCAGCAATAGTTGGTGGGACAAATGAGCACTTGATTCAAGGCCCCAGTAAGTGCTGACATGTTTACAAACCACACTTTATTAGTTAACTTACTGGGAATTTGGCAGTAGGGAAGTCTGAATCTGTTCAAGACTAAAAAAGTGAATACATTTCTATCCTCATCTCCTTTAAGACTGTAACTGCCACAGTCTGATTTTCCCATGAAATTGTACACACTGGAATATGAACTTAAAGGAGACAAGAACTCTTATCAGCACCGTGGCACAACTCTTTGATACATCTGTGGGGGTTTCCACAGCCAAAACCACAGCTGTTCTCAGTTATTGGGAGCTGACTGGATCCCAGACCGATGGGGTTTCCAACACTGAATGTCACCCTTAGGAATCAGAAGGTGCAAGTGGAACAGAATAGTGGTGGTGGCAGGACAGGGCAATCACAGGCTCTGCAGGGCTTTCTCATAACGCCGGGACAGCCCATGCAAGCCAGGAATGGGATTCTCCTATTTAGAAGCAGTAGAAATCAAGAATATAGATCTTACAAGTGGTATCATTCCTCCTGGAGAGGTTTTAATTGAAGCCAATTAAAACTGTTTGTGTGTAGGTGTGAGAAACTTACAGGGTCTAGGAAGTCGCTGTGAACTTCTCATTTACAGAAGAGAAAAAGCAAATGAACCTGCAACTCATTGATGGTGACACAGAGAATGAGTCTAAGAAGGATGCAGGCGCAGTGTTTACTTACTGGCAAACTCACTTCAGAAATTGTCAGAAATGGCCAAAGAAAAATCACCAGCACCCAAGACAGACTGTTGTTGCAGCAGGTTGATCACCAGGTGGGAAGGCTTCTCTTCTCTAGGCCAGGCAGCAATGACGAGAAGGGTAGTGATCAGGGATCCAGGGTGCCAGTGCCCAGAGATGGGAGCTGCCATCTGGGAACAGTTTGGAAAAAAGCAAAATTAATCATAAGAGGGCTTGCCAGTACCAGCTTCCAAGACACTCCACCCAGCTGCCCCTAATGCCCACAACAGATGTCAGAGCTCAGCATCTTGTGAGACCAGATCCTGTTTGAGCTCTCTATCATCCAGAAGGACAGGCAGGGCGTGAGGGGCAGGAGAGTTTTCTGAACCTGCTGCTCTCAGGCTATGCTTGTACACAGTTGAGTCAGGCCCCAGGACTGATCACAGCACTTTGGCCTGAATTCCTAGGTCAGCATAACAATCCTCTTAAAATTAAAAAAACCTCCTTTGGCCTGTCAGTCATTACAAGTTAATTTCTTGTTTTCCTTTGTTGTTATATATATATAATTACTTGTAAAATAATGCAATTACTGTAAGGTAGGGACATATGTGGGACAACTTCTCTCTTTGGCTCATTTTTCTTTATTTAAATAGAGTATGAAGTACAGAGATCACTTCTGAATGTACTTCAGAAGACTCAGTCCACAGGCTGGGACTGCCTAACGTACTGGGCATATGACTTGTCTCATGAGTTCTTTCATGGGATTTAGACCTATTTTTACCCTTTCTTTTGTCTTTCTCACACTAAAGTAATGCAAGTAAACCCATCATTTGAAAAATAAAGTCTGGCAGAAGGAAAAGGTCTTCATAAAGGAGCTGCAGCTGCAGGGCTGGTTGAAATGTGGTAATGTGGATGCCAGCTGGCCGGTCTTCCCCTCACATAGGTCTGAATGAACAGCCAAACTGCAAGCTCCACATAATACATCAATACTAGGTGACACCCAGGAAGGGTACAAAATTTCAGGTCAACAGCCTGGAGCTCTAAATGGAAATAGACAGTAAGGAAAGAAGGCAGTAAAAGCACTGACAAGGAATGAAAAGGAAGATTTAGAGAAGAAAAAAATATGTATTACGCTATTAGCCAGAAATTATTTTGGCAAAATCACACTTCATTATTTTTTATGCATTTATTCCTCTTAAAAAGGATTTTTTTCAAATTCTCCTTCTCTCTAACTGTGAAATAAATTATGAATTGTGGGCAAGAGAAGCTGTATCACTCCCAATGAGCCTAGTTACATTCAGTCCCAATGGACAGTACCATTCAAATGCTTTCTCTTCTGCCATTCAGGAAGAATACTGCAAAGCATTCCCAGTCTGATCAGAAAGTCATCCAACAGTGCCTGGGAAGTGTGAGTCAGTTCAAGAGAGGCAGGAGCAGCTGGCATGGGTTTGGCTTGTACACTTGTGGAGAAATGGGATGAAGATGAAAAATTTGCTTTGGCTGGTGGGCTCAGAAATTGAGAAAGGGAAGAAAGGCAGCTTGTGAGGGAACAAAGACCTAATGTGGGAGAACTGTGAGTTCCTTGCACATGGGCTGAAGAATTTGAGAAGACCTTTTTCAAACACTTCCAAGCACTAGAATGAGCCTATCCCCACACTGGGGCCAGCACCACATGCATACAATGTGCAGGGAGTGGTGGGCACTAAGCAGAGATGCAGCAGGGGTACATCTGCAACATGCTGAAGAGGGGCTTCAGTGAGAGGAGTGGAAGATCTATCTCACCCCAGGAGTCACATCTCTTCTGGGCTTGCATTGACAAACTGAATCTTTTTCATGGCAGACTAGAAAGATGTCAAAATCAGTGAGTCTCAGGAGTCTGTGTCTCTGGCTGATGCCTCAGCAGAGAAGGCCACAGAAGCCCCTGACACTGACCATGAGGTTGAAGCTGAACGTTTTCTGACCATCTGCCCTCACTATCCTTTCCCTTACAGCCAGAGCTGTACCTACTAACTGGTATGTATTCAAAATGGAGACCAAGGACACAATCCTGCCAGAATTCTGACAACCACATGTAGTCTGGCAATTGATAAAGACAGAGGCAGGAATGAATTTCCCCTTAAGAGTTCTCCCTTTGATGTCCAGTATCTTCCCTCAACTGCTCTCTACACACCACAGCTATTTCTTTGTTCCTTTTTCTTTCCTTTAGTCATTAATAGCCAATACTGCCAGCCCAGACCACTGTCTGGGCATCAGAAGCAGCTATCTGAAACCAGGGATGGGACTGCAGCCCTCTTTGTGCACTCCTGATGAAACACTGCATAGCACTTAGGGTCTGCACACCATGGTTTTGCCACAACCGTCCTAAACTTTTCTGGTGGCTCTCCTTTTATTTTCTGCCTCGTGAAGTCAGTCCTCTGGCTAAGGAAGTCATTTTTGTAACAGTAAGATTTATCCATAATT